AAGCAGCGTCATGTTCAAGTGGATTTTGCAACTCAAAAAAAACCACGCAAATCTAAAACTTCTTGAATTCAAGCATTTTTTGAGAAAACTGCCAAGATTTCCTTATCGATGGTTCACTTTCTAAAAAGGCCATTTAGTTCTCTTTGGAATGATGTACAAACGAGCGTTCTTGCTCATTTTTGCCTCCGAGAAATGAGCAAAAACGAGACGGAAAACATGGAATTTTGCAATAATCTGCTGGATCCGCCCCTGTTCAAATGGTGCATATATTGGCAATTCTGGGCGCTAAATTCAGCAATCCGAACTGTGTTGAACAGGAAAAGTTTCTGAGCAATCAGGTTTCTTTATCGACTTTAACGCTCAGGATCTTACACCTTTTATATACACACAGCGCTTCAAAATTCGCGTCATTCGTTTTTCTGAAGATTTTGGGCTTAATAGATCTAAAACATGACCAGGTTCGAAACCCTTTGTGAAGATCAAACTGGCAGGTTTTCCGCGCTTTTAGACCGTCCTGGGTTTTTTGACGTTTCGCAAGCAGGAGTGTCTTCCATCTTCAGAGTGGCGCTGCCCCGCGCAAGCCGCCTCTCAAGTCAGGAAGAATTTCCCACGATGGTTCAAAATCCCGAAAATTTCACCGTTAAACGCTCATTGGCTAAAACATGCAAAACTTGTTTTTGTGGCTAAATTTTAAAATGCCCTCCATGGATGGTTCACTTTTTAAAAAGGCCATTTATTTCTCTCTAGAATGATGCACAAATGAGCATTCTTGCTCATTTTGCCTCCGAGAAATGAGCAAAAACGGGACGGAAAACACGAAATTTTAGCATAATCTTGCATCCTGTTTGATATGCAAATTTCGCTTTCTACGACTGAATCGACTTTTCAATTCTCTATCCAACGATGCCAAAACGAATTCTGTTGCTCGAATGGTTCTTGAGAAACTTCGAAAAAAGGCCATTTAGTTATCTCGAGAATGATGTAAAAACGAACGTTCTTGCTCATTTTGCTTCGGAGAAACATGCAAAATGGGACGGAAAACATTAAATTTTGCAATAATCGTGCGCCACCCTTGCACAAAACTAGCAGTTAAAGGAAAACAAACTCTAACCTGATCAAGTTTAGCTGATTCGCACATTTCATCGGGGTTTTTCTTCTTTAACTTCAGGCTTTTTCACCATTATCTTGCTTGGACCGCTGCTTTGCTCCGTTCGCGTTTTTCTGGATGGAAAACTTGCTAGTAAATTTTCGAGTTTTTCCTTCTTCTTTTGGTTTCCTTAATTTTTAATTGCTTCCGCTGTTTCATCATGCATGCCTTCAACTCTTTCATTGGTCCTCTTTGCGTTCATTTATCGATTGCTTGCTAAACCCGAATTCAGCAATCAGGAGCAGGTTGGTTTTAGTGCGTAATTTTGCATCTTTTTTTCAGATCGACTTCCATTTTTTTTCGCAAACACTCATACAGGAAAACGTATAAAGTCTTTTCGTCTTGCCGATTGTTGTGTGCTAAGAGAGCAAAAATCCAATAGAACGTTTAAAAGACCAGTTTTTTTCTAAATTATTCGAAAGATCGACAAAAGTTCGAAATCAACACCGCTCAATAGCAAAAATTGAGCATTCTAATGGAGATTTAAGTTGAAAGTTGAAACATTTCGAAGCAAAAGGTTTGAAAAAGTACTGTTCATTGTTCCAGATCTGTATGCTTCTGGACGTCTTTCTAGAGACCAACATTCTCACCTCATGGGTCTCTATCTATCTAG